TTATGTTGCCAAAACGGCTTCGAGCTTTCTTCCGGTCGTATTCAAATAGAAATAACACTCGTGATTGTTGTCCGGCCATCTATTCCACTACGCCGTATGTTGATTCTCCAGCCCAGCCTACCTGACCTAGGAATACACTACCAGCTCAAGAACGAGGGCAAATGCAGTTTATCAGAAGTACTAGTGTTGAACCCACGATAAGCCGGTCACGACTGAAGCTTTAACCAACCTGTGGTGCAATTTTCAGTGTTCTAAGACTTAGTTTTACACATTAAAACGATGAAGTCTGACATTAGGTTCTAAGGACCTTCTGCCATAAGTTGTGACAGTCAAACCACTAGTGGAGCGTTGTTGTGAAGACGTTTACAGGCGCTCTTCTGGTGTAGGTGGGTTGATGACAGCTTTTGCCCCATTATCAACCAGGAAACGTATCCTAGGGTAGAGATCTGTGACATAGAAGAGGGACCGATAGAGTGGTTCGCCAGTGACGTTAGTCATTACTGCGAGTCAGCTCACACATTTCCCGACTGGCTAGTGTTAAAGGTGCAGGGACGAATACACACTTGTGCATAGGCATTATAACGTCTATGCTGCCAACAGATTCCAGGCTATAGGCTTTTCAATTTCAGCCGCCTTTTTCCTTAACCCAAAGAAGATTTATTGAGAGACCGAAACGCGCGATTGTGCGAAGGAATTCAACCCCTAAATTCCTCCTTAAGACTACACAGTTTTGTCTGGTTTTGAAACTTGACGAGCCACTCATTTAATGAAGGTCTTTTTGGCAGGGAGTGTTAGTAGATAAGACTGAAGAAATGCATGTGAATGGTCTGGTAGCTTCGAAACCCCGAGAAAGATGCTTCTGCTAATTTTTGCAGAGGTGGTTTGTAGAAGGGTGCGAGAATCCTTTGCACTGTCCAAAGTAGCCTTTGTAACCGCAGTTATTTTAGGAAGCTTTCGTCAATTTTGCAATCAGCAATTACCTATGCAACCTGAGGAAGGATTTGCGTGGGCCTACAGTCCCCAATTTGAACGTCTCTGGAGAGTTCGTGAACTTTCGTTGGTTTGTAAGTGCTGCTGTTTCTACTGAAGTCGTTTCAGACGATCGCAAGGGTCTGGGAATGTCCGAGACGCTCCCAGTGATGTTTTCAGGGAGACTGTCAGTTACTTAGTTGGCCTTAACTTTTTGGGAATGAGTAACCCGCAAGGCGAACTAGGTCTCTGACATGTGGAAATAGTGAAGATGGTCGATTCGCCCATTAGGTTGGGAGTTGCAGCATAGCTCCCACCTGCACAGGAAAGTTGTTTCCAGCCGTGGTTATTCGAAGTATAGGGAATTCGGAGATATGGAATTGTAAAAATATGTCAGCAGTATGAAATAACACGAGACTTAAAGGAAAGAAAATACGAACTTAAGATGTGGCAGAGATTGAAATTAGGGCTCACCAGCTGTAAGGTGCCGGTAGTGCTGTTGATAACTTACAATTACCAGCCCTCTTAAGCGTAATTTATCTATTATTGTTTCCTTTAATTTCTAGAGGAACACAGCGCTTCAGACGCATGTCTCCATTGCGTCCGCCTCTCTGCCAACTTTTTCACCTGGTTCCACGTCTGCCCACGTGCTCTCATCTCCTCTTCACATGATCTCCTCCATGTCACCTTCGGATGAACAACTCGTCACCTCCCGTTCGGGTTCCATTCGAGTGATGGCCCGTTTAGTGATGTCACTTGATGGTTTCCTCAGAGTATGGCCAATCCACCTACCTCCATTTCTTCCTGCTTATTTGTTGCACAGTTGGTTCCTGCTGGGTTGGTTCGCTCATTGCCAGAGATCTCTGTTGCTGATCTTTTCTGGCCATCTGATCTTGAGTAGTATTGAAAGAAGATAGCTGTTGGTGAAAGTCACTTCCAACTCGAGTTCCACTCGAGCAATGGCATCGTGTGTGATGCCACTTGATGGTTTTCTCAGAATATGGCCACCAACCCACCTCCATTTCGCCATGCATTTTTCTTGCGGTGTTCGCTGGCTCCCAAAGATCCCTTTTTCTGATCTTTTCTGGCCAGCCATCTGATCTTGAGTAGCACTAAGCAAAGACGGTTATTGATGAAGGTCTGTAGTTTGTTCAAAGTGGCCTTCATGACGTGGCGCTAACCTCCTGATCCGCACAGTAGCGCTGACTTCACATTGGTGTTGAAAATCTTGGTCTTATTTTTCACACTGAGTGCTGTCGACCTCCACGCAGACTTGAGAGAAATGAAAGCTTGTCTTACTTTCCCGATCCTTGCTTTGATATCCCCATCAATTCGGTTCGCCTGTAGTTGAAAATTTATATAACGAATATGGCCGTATTTAACGCTCGCCGAAGAGTGTGTGTGTCGACAGTGGAACACGAAAGCGCAAAAGTAGTGTTGGAGCCAGTCGAATATGCATACAATAAAACAAAGTCTTAATAAGTTGGAAAATGCACTACAAACCCTTTAACATCCGAGGGAACCATAGCAAGTGAACAGCACACGGCTGTCTTGGTGACCTATTGTACTGCCCAACATCTTCAATATAAATCCGTTCTAAGTAAACTCACGTGTCATCCCGGAGACTCCATGGAGGTTCTGTCAAGGGAAATTCTGTGGATATAAGTATGTCAGACCGATATCCCTAAAATAGTGGTCAGTAGGCCATTTAAGCATTTGTTGAGTAGCAAATAGACGCCGAAGTAGTGAAAGAATGGTATCGTATCTGCTACTTTCAGGGGAGTAATTGAAAGAATCCGGACGTGTAGTCCTTCTGGTACCGATGTCAAAGGTGTTAGAAGGCCTGAACGACAATCATTTCGAAGAACATATTAATAAAAACAACATCTTACGTGGAGCTCAAAATGTGTAACCAAATTGCTGGCGGATCGAGGCAACTGGACAGCATGCTTGAGCCAGAACATTGCAATCCATTTGTTATTTCTGAACTTAGTGGAAGCTTTTGAATCTGTGCAGCATGGAATCTTTCTCTAGAAAGTTTACGGAACATAAGCCGACAACTCATTGTTGTTCTGGTTTTGAGCACATCTTGATGGTAGTGGAACTTGTAGTATAGCAAGTCTCAAACTGTTTGCATGGACGTCATCAACTAGGGTACTACAGCGAACTGTTAGTAGTTAATTGTTATTTCTGATTCTCATAGATAATCTTTCGGATTACTTATCCTGTCAACACCTTATTAAGTTGATGGTACAGAGTCATATCTGTCTGTGAGAAACGTGGCAGATCGGCCCAGTTTTTAGGAGGACCTACTCATCCTGGAATGCTATACTAAACTGAATGAACTGAAAATACGCCGCCGAAATCAGCCGTACCAAAGATGACTCATTCTCAGCATTCTATAGCCTGCTCAAATAGGGGTATATTCCGAAAATCATCTATTCACCTAGCAGTCCACTCCACGTCAACAGTCTCACAAGACGGCAAGATGGTAGGACTCACTATTGGTTACCTGTGGTGCGGCGAGACAGTGCTGGAAGGCAAAATAGACGAACTCAGAAGCCTAGAATCTGACCTGAATCCCAAAATAATAACACTGACCTAGACCTGACTAAACCATATTATTGCTGACGAGAAGGTTAGTATGAGCTATGTGGTCCTGGTTAGTCTGGAGTGGTATCATAATTTGGGGGCGGAATCTCCATATATGTATAAAAGAAGTTGAGTGGCTTACGAGCAACAAACGCACCACTCACGAGACTCTCCGAACCTATATAACATACTCCCAGTGTCGGTGACACCAAGCATCAATTGAGTGGTATATTTCGACCACCCTCTTGTGAAGCAGAACACAACCAGCTACTGCTCAGCACTGTCAACGTACAGGGAGCCTGAGATATGACAAAATCAGTATATCTGAGGCCTCAGTGCTCCATCCCTTAACCTGGGGCCAGAGTTTACCTGAGGATTATTTGATCCGAGTATTGGTGACCTTTTTCTCACGGCTGGAGGACCAATTTAAGGTCGTAATATGTCGAAGTACTATCATCCTGGCACAGCATGACCTCGGGATATTGACAGGGTTCTATCTTAGTATCTTGCCACAAGGTCATGCGCTTTTATACACTCCACAAATGGACAGGAGTACGCACCCCAGAGATTTTTCAAAGACTGTATAAATCACGTGCTGCCGCAACTTGAAATGAGTTATATTATGGCTTCTCGACTACCTCATTAAAGGTCGAGAAAGCAAGGTCTTTTCACGCTTAGCCACAACTGGCTAAGGGATGACCTAAATACTGCTTACAAATATAAGAATGATCAGTATTATCCTAACAAAAATATATTGCCATTACGTCATTACGGACATATTCGTGGCAACCCGCGAAGTATCAGGCATCAAACATTGAAGATCATAGTCTACTTGTATTACTTCATAATTCAAGTTTGTCACCCCTGGAATTCTCTACCGACAGCCGTGTTTCCTTGATCGTCGGTGGAAAGCTTTAAGTGTAGGTCGGATAATCAAGTAGCAACAAATGGACTGATTCCAAATGGACTATGCTCTTTAAGCCCACATGCCACACTTTGCTGATGGGTTTCGTCTAAGATCATTCTTTACCTTTGCCCGGACCTGAACTTCTCACTCTTCTGATTTGTCTATCTGTTCAATCACTTTCTAGGCATTGAGTTGCATTATCTTTTTGTTTAATCGTTTTTCTCTATAAGTATACATGGTGTCCATTTATTTTGTCATTATTATCTTTTCTACTTATTGTCATTTCCCTTTTCGATATCGCCGGATGAATAATGGGTGTTAGGATTCACTCTACTAATAGCAATAGCATTGTCTTTACACAGAGTAATGCAAACCACATACAACGAATCTCTGCACCACTCCCTCAAGCTCATCGAAAAATGAAGCAGACAAGTGGCGGAACAGACACTGTGAAAGTTTATAACCAAGAAGTCAGTTCAGAGAAATCAATGGAATCGGTATTGGAAAATTGAACGCAGAGGGATATTTGTCATGCGAAGGTCATTCACATCTTGACCTAGACAATTATGATTACACTATCTGTCTTACTAGCTCTTTTGATTGGTGGAACAGAAGATGGAGTCTTCCCTGATTGGCAATCTAGTGAAAATTGGAACGAAAGTCCCATTGAATACTTACTCCCAACGTTGGTGAATTTCTACAATCAGCATTCAAGCGAGCCGTTTAAATATGTAGCTTTTGACGCAAACGAAACTCTGGTGTCTGTAAGATCATATTGCTACAAATAATATACAATATAGGATTCTCATGGATTTAAGTACATCTTCAACGTTCTATTAGCTCCTTCAACTTGCGCCAAATACAGTGTTGGCTACGTATCCCTTGCAAACCTTGGTCGTTGCAAATTGAGGGAGTATGAGGTAAATTTCATTTGAATAATTTTCTGAGGAATTCGCAGTTCAGGCGTTGTATATTTTCACTGCGTTATCGACAGGGTCTGCTGTTTGATAACAGCAGTCTGTCTCTCGAGAACTGTATGCCTGCCAGTCCGAAAATCCCGGAGAACCCCCAGGTAATCTTTATTTGAACGTAAATTCATTATGTTCGTAAAATTTCACTGAGTCGCCACAAGTGTTATCTACACTACTAGGTATATGCCCCTACATATCGTCCGTGATAATCATAATAACTTTAATTTGCATACTAGTCTGCACAGATAACAAACGTGCACTAATATTTCCCACGGTTTTGAGAACTTGCAATACAAGTAGATTTCAATCATTTGTTCAATATCATTCTTGTGTACCTTGATTTGAGTAATTAATTCTCACCAGGTTGGAACACATTAGAGGACATAGTGAGAGAGTTCAAAAACCAGGGATAAACTGTATAGTTTGCGGAGTACTGTTTCTGACACCAGGCTATAAACTCCTGGAACCGGCTCCCAGGAAAAGTGGTGTCAGCAACCTCAATTGATTCATTCAAGAAGGGTTTGTAGAAGCACAGAAATTTACTAGAAAAAGATTAATATAGGCTTTAAGCCTTCTGCCCTCAATCAACAAATCTGAATCTTATATAGGTCACCGGAAAATATTGAACATAATGAGATAACCAGGTAAGCATCCTCGCCAGCTGCATTACTTGACTTTTGACTCAATCCAATATCCTGATTACGAGCTAGTATTAACGAGTGATTTCTTTGAGCTCGCTTCTTGATTGTAAGGTAGAGGTTCCAGATAATTATTATGTTCCGGCATTATCTAAGGAATCTTCAGTCGCATTTACGGGGTTATAAAGTCGAGTAAACGTTATCTAAAAAATTTGATAGTCCGTTGAATTTAAAACTGCTTTCTTCTGTCAATATTATGAGCTACTAATAACGGGAACTAGTGTAGGTAGACCAGCCCTTTCAATAACATGTCCCACTGTAGTTCTATCACACATCACTTTGTCATTGGTGTTTCTATTGATTACTGACTTGTGAATCCATATCGAAAGCAAACATCTAAGTGGGCGGCAAAGTTCCGAAACTTGAATCTCGTCTTCTCATGGCCTCTTCATGTCGGCTGATTTATTCCTATTAGGCTTCTTCATATGATTTTTAAGAATGCAATTTTCTGCAATCTTTCAACCTTTGCTACTTATTTTCTCCTTATGTTAATATTGTATATAATGAAGCAATGGTAGAGTAAACTGATTGTGTCCCTGTCATATATATATATATATATATATATATATAAATGATAGAAACACCAGGTGGTTGACAGTTACGCGTTTATGTCAAAGGTGTAAACAATTGAAAATATTCAAGCATTCAACAGGACACATTGAGAGAGTCTTTAAATTACCTTAATTTACTAGATACCAACTTTTTAGTGTCAGTAAATCTTATTTTCTTACAAAAATATATCTGAATCTTACTGTTCACTCTATATCAGTTTCTGCAAAAACTGTTTAATGTTGGCGTTTAACTAATTTCTTATTCATAACAACTGAAAACATCTTAATGAATACTATTGGTTTTCCAGTTCCCATGGTTTCTCATGCTTTTCATTCAATATAATTAAATCAAGTTATTGGGTTGTGTGTATCGCTCAATACACTTAGAATGTCTGCGTTCTATCTCTCATGTTATATGGTATAATAGGAAGAGCAATATTAATGTTAAGCACCGAGTGCTAGGTAAGGAGGCAAAATCAATCGACGAGGTTGCGAAGTTATATAGATTGAGATGCCTAGGACATATGTTACACGTGTCTAGCCATCTCCTTCGTCGACTGACAGGCAATGTTAGCTGACATAGGATCAGGCTGAAAAAGAGCTAGTGATGGCCAAACGAAAACATGGCTTCATCAATCAATGAAATCCATAAAAGTTATTTTGAGCCACACATAAGGAGGTGTAAACTTCCTGGTTGAGGTCCTAGGGATGGTAAGGACCAATGAAGGCTGAAGACAATCAGTGATATGACTCAAAGTAGTTCTCGAGCACCGGCTCAGATACATTGAGCCTTTATGAATTCCCGTGTCCAATAAAAATCTATGGTTCGTTTTTACCTTACGCACAATTCGCTTTATTATCCCTCCCTACTCTCTTCCTTTGCTTTGTGTGTTACACAGAAAGTAGCAACTGGAACTGCTGCACTTCTGTACAAAGTTTTATGTTGAAACCAGTCATTTAGGATGTTATGTTCTGGTTGTAGCTAGCATACAAGCAAAAGGAGGAAGTGTTTCACTCAAGCCTTCTTTAAAAAAATACACGAACGTATGCAGTCAAGAGATTACTAATTTTGAATTTGTGTAAGGTATTATGGTCTCCTTTACTGCTAGATCTGTCGATCGAAGCGACACAGCATTTTGTTCTAGCCAATCAAAGTTTTATGTAAACATTTTGGCAGAAAATCAGTTAACAACTGAAGTGTTTAGACTATTATTATTATTATAGTTCCCTTGGGTTCCTAGTGGAACATAGGGCTTCAACTGCGTCTGCACTTGTTTCTGTCTTCTGCTGTATTTTTCACCTGCATCCATGTGAGTCCATACTGTTTCAGCTCCTCTTCACACGATCTCCTCCATGTCAACCTTGGACGTCCCACTCGCCACTTCGCTTTCGGGTTCCACTCGAGCATTGGCCTGACGCGCGATGTCACCCAGCGGCCTCCTCAGTGAGTGTCCAATCCATCTCCACTTTCTCCTGCATGTTTGTTGGGCGATTGGTTCTTGTTTTGTTTGTTCCCATAGTTTCTTGTTGGTTCTTGTTCTTTCCGGCCATCTGATCTTCAGTATAGAGCGAAGACAGTTGTTGATAAAGGTCTGCAACAGGCTGTTGGAAATATTCTTTGTGACCCGCCAAGTTTCTGATCCATCCGTATAGAAGAACTGACTGACTTGAAGTTTGTATTGAAAATCCGAATTTTGTTGTTGAGTGTTGCTGAGTGACGAAGATTTCCAGATTGGTTTCAGGTTGATGAATGTGTTTCTCGCCTTCCCGATTCTCGATTTGACATCCTCGTCCGTCCCTCCTGTAGTTGAGACAATACTCCCTAGATAAGTGAAAGAAGTAACCTCTTTCAAATCCCTCCCGTTGATGGTGATTGGCGCTTGATGTTGCTGCTGCTGTTGTTGTTGGTTGGTTGGTTATTTTCATAACCTCCGTCTTGTCTATATTCACCTGGAGTCCTGTCTTCTCTGGCTGCTTCTTCGACCAGTTTGTCAGCTTTCGCTTGTAAGTTTTCGATTTTGTATTTAGACTATTACAGAAATTTCATTACATTTCAATAACTATTTTTTCTTTTTTATATATTTCAGTATCTAGGCTTTAAACTTCCTGAAAATGTGGATGAATTGTACGCGAATTTCAAGTGGTCATACAGGAAACAATATCAGGGGACAGGTTAATTGACATTGTAATTTAAAAGCTAATATTCTCTTTGCCTTTAGAAAATGAGATAAGATTCAATATCTTTAAAACTAACCTACTAAAAGCTCAACTGTATCAAGTACTCGAAAGAGGTTCAGCTGTTTATGGTGTCACACCCTTTTCAGACTTAACAAGTTAGTATAATTGTTTTTTTGTCAGCTTTTAAAAAAAATATATATTAGGTGAAGAATTCGCACGTACCCATCTAATGGCCTCTTGGGATTCACCCTTGAAAAGTAGTGAAAAGATTTCTTTGGCTGGAAAAGTTGAAGATATACCAGAAAATTTTGACTGGAGAGAAAAAGGTGCTGTGACTGGTGTTAAAGACCAAGGCATGTGTGGCTCTTGTTGGGCATTTTCCACGACTGGCAATATTGAAGGCCAATGGTTCCGTAAGACTGGAAAACTATTATCTTTAAGTGAACAGGTTGGTGTATTTATGAAAAGTTTTTTTTAACGTTTATCTTATGAGTATTTTTTTACATTTATGGGCTTACACTAAATGTCAGGTTACACTATTGTACAATTTCAAAACACAACGTATTTCTGACCGTTAACCAATAGGTGGTTCCTAATAGTATCTGTATTTATGTAATCTTAATGGTATATTTGTGCTAAGCTGCCTTAATTGTTTTGCATTTTTTCATCATATAATGCAAAAGCGTGATCTACAAGAACTGGTCCGTTTACAAGATGTCCACAGCATAGAGGGCACTGAAGTAGGAACTAAGTCAAGCATTAAATACCTTGGAATAGTTCTCTCTTCTGAATTTTCTTGGTCATTCCATATCTTGTCAATTGGTGATATGGGCTCAAAATCGTTCTCAATGGCGGATGCAGATGCATCCACTCCGTGCGATAATACCCAATAAAACTATATTGTTCTTCGTTATTACTATTCTTTTTGCCTCACATCTCTGTCTACTGTCTCTATTTTGCATTTCTTTTTACTTCCTTTTCTGGCTTTGTGTGCTACATGGAGTGTGGCGACTTACTTACTGTACACTGCTCCGCCTTAGTCTTTCCTGGGCTACTCGAAAAGGACTATGTCATATTGCGAAGGGCATTAAAGGTTGTCAGTAGGCCAATTAGTGTGCCGCCTAGTCGGCACGTTACTGTTGTAGTCGACGGACACCTGAACTCATGTGAGAAATCGTCTAGATCCGTATTGTCTGATTCTCAATACCCTCTCTATTCACAACTCTCCCCGCCTTGCATCTCATCAGGCAGGAGGACTAGAAGTCATGATGAAAGATTAAATGTTCGTACGACCAAGTACGAAAACTCAACGATACCCTATTTAACCTGAGTCCTATGTGACAGAGATGGCGTGTTAAGCTTGAAACTTATAACTTGTTGTGTAATTAGCAAAATAATCGGCTCTTTTTATTCTCTGTTATTTACAATTTATGGTGACACTATTTCAATGAACTTATAACTTAGCTATCAACACTATTATTATCATCATCATTATTTTACACTTTCTGTACATTTTTAACCTAAACTGTCAATACAAATACCAAAAATAAGCCGCCAATTTCAATCCTGTAATATTTCTATTTTATTTTCAAGAGTTAATTTGTAAGGATTTGATTTCTTTTTGAGTTTGACGACGGATTGATATCAGTTAGTGAGGGAGTATTGGACAGCTGTTTTATTCTAGTTTGGGACTCGTCGGACTCATCAAATCCTTACAAATCAACTCTTAAAGATTAATTCGATGCTCGCTAGTGACTTGCTGCAGAACGCAGTTTCCTGTAGTTCTAGTAAGAAGTCGTGACCAGTAAGGTCCATACAGTGGGGATTAAGGGTGGATTTCCCACCGGTGACGTTGGTTGATGCCAGTCGCACTAAATCATGAATTGGTAGAAGTTAGAATTTAATACGTTAGCCATTGAGGAGTCGGATCCTATCAGCTGAATGATCTTGTAACCGGGAGGTCCTGGATTCGAAACCCAGTGAGTGAAACAGCTGTTCACAGTACTCCCGGGTAGTTTTCAATGGTTCTCTAACTGATATCAATCCGTGGTCAAACTTGGTTATTTTTATTTACTGTTGTCGAGTAAATTAGATGCAACAATATTGTACTGAATGCTGAGAATTCCAAACTGTATCATAATAAAAAGACAGTTGCAGCGAAGAAAATTCTCTTTTCGACGAAGTCACCGTCAACTAGATAGCTGTACATTCGTGTATTTATAATAAATGGGTAGGAAAGTTCCAGAATTATCTCCGGTCAAGGGTCAAATTAATAAAATTACAATTAGGAATTAAAATGCCATAATAAAAAGAGGGAAGGGGACGGATAAAACTCAAACAAAGTAGCATCATAATTACTGAGAAGATTGACGTATGGTGCAATTGGGGCTTAGAAATGTAGAAATAGAAAAATTAAATAAACAGGATGTTTGGATAAAAATATCTAGTGGGGTCATAGCTAATATAACGAATAATTGTTTATGCAATCAGGGATTAAATATGTAGAAATAATAAAATGACAAAATAAACAGGAAGTTCGGATATGAAAGTATGGTAGTTTAAATAGGGGTTAAAAAGAAGCTTAAAAAATACCATAAATAAACAGGAAGTTTGGATAAGAAAGGCAATGGGGATAGTCACTATTAGAAGAATTACCTGTTTATGATGGCCATGGCAGCGATAAGGGGTGGACATTCAGCGCCATTCGAAAAATCCTTCAAAATAATATACAAAATTCGATCAAACCTATCATAGGGAGTAAAATCAAAACATCTGGGCATAGCCGAGGCACTAGCCATCCTAAAGCTCAAACCCACACTATGTATCCAAAAGAAATGTGTCCACCTCCTTATCCCTGCCATGGCCATCATAAACAGGTAATTCTTCTAATAGTGACTATCCCATTGCCTTTCTTATCCAAACTTCCTGTTTATTTATGGTATTTTTAAGTTTTTCTTAATCCCTATTTACACAACCATATTTTCATATCCGAACTTTCTGTCTATTTTTGTTACTTCTACATATTTAACCCCTAATTGCACAATATGTCAATCTTCTCAGTAATTATGATGCTACTTTGTTTAAGTTTTATCCGTACCCCTGTTAATTATGGCATTTTAATTCCTAATTGTAATTTTATTAATTTGACTCTTGACCGGAGATAATTCCGAAATTTTCCCACCCATTTGTCATAAATACACGAATGTACAGCCTCCTAGTTGATAGTGACTTTGTCGAAAAGAAAATTTTCTTCGCTGCAACCGTCTCTTTATTATCATTCCTTATGATCCTTATGATCCCCAAACGAAAGCTGCTACCTTGACGTGGTGGTCGGGCTTGAACACTGCAATGACCCAACAAGCTATACTGGCTGGAACTTATGTTCCTGTAGGTCCTACCATGCCAGAAAGGTTGTTTGAATAGTGGCTAGACCGAAAGCAGTTACCCAATCCAATGCCATGACTCAAACAAAATCACAAAATATCTTGCCGGATCGGTCGGGGTCCGGATTAACAACGACCGCGCTTCCTGCTGCCGTGTCACAGGGCAGAAGTGATAAATGTGCTACTGAGACACACCAAACGAAAAACAACAAACAAAAACAGGCCGTGTGTGACCGGCCTCAAGCAGTTGTCCCCTGGGCTCTGCGGTCACGCAACAAATTCCTTATGATCAAATTTGTATCATAAGTGTCCACTTCTTTTCCTCACCTTATTTATTTATTTATTTATTATTCTATTACAGCAACTTGTTGATTGTGATAAATTAGACGATGGTTGTGGCGGTGGTTTGCCATTGAACGCTTATGAATCAATTATTCGTATGGGTGGACTAATGACTGAAGACGCTTATCCATATGATGCTAAAGATGAAAAATGTCATTTAAAAATTAATAATATTGCAGCATACATTAATAGTTCTGTTAGTTTACCAGAAGATGAAAATCAATTAGCCGTCTGGTTATATCATAATTCAACAATCAGTGTTGGAATGAATGCAATGCTCCTGCAGGTATGTGTGTGTTGACATTCTTCATCACTCGCATCTTGTTTGTTATACCTTTAATTAAAGTTTTTTGTTAATTGATGTTTGTGTTTTTGAACAAGGCTTCAGGAGTAGTACATCTTCATTTCATCTTGTTCTGTGAAGTCTTCTTCACCTGGCTGCGCGATTTTTCCATGAGCTATCATCTTCTCATAGCACGACTTTCTCCATGTTACATTTGGATGCCCATCCGGGTTCCACTCAAGCAAGCGATGGCCTTGTCCGCAATGTCATTCAACAGTCCTCTGAGTGGGTGTCCGTTCCATCTACATATCCTTCGTCATATTTGTTGGAGTTGATTGTTGCTAATTCTTTCTGGCCATCTGAAATCTCTTCAGTATGAAGTGAAGGCAGTTGTTGATAAAAGTTTGAAGTGGCCTGTTGGAAATACCGGCAAAGTTCAACAATAGCGTTGTCCCAAGAGATGCGTACACATGAGTGACCTTCAGCCGACCAATCATAAAAATGAGGGATTTTTGCACAAAAATGACGTATATTTACAAGAAAATGCATGAAAACACATTAAACGGCGTATCTTTCTCCTCTGACATGACTTAAAAATACGTCCCAGTTATAATGAGGAGTATCAGTTGCTAAGTTAGACTGGTTTCTGTACATGTATTCACTGAGGTGGCTGAAGATAAGCTGTGTTTTGTGAATTGTCCACCTCTTTTGTCCTGTACAACGTTGTGAAGTCTTCCCCAAAAGCACTCGGTTGAATTACTATGGTTTCCAGTAAGAGGATCGACGACTACTTACCAGGAAAATGTGGATAATAAAACAAATTAAAATAAATGACATCAACTCTAAATCTATCCTTAATCGTAACCCTAACCTTAATCATAACCCTTATCCGAACCGTAATTCTAACCCTAACCCCAATACTTACCCTAACCCTAATCCTAACCCTAACCAGCTATTAATACATTATGGAAACAGTACTTAAAAACGTGATCTGTGTGAAATTTGCTACTTAGCTGGTGAACAGCGTTGATATTTCAGCTATGATGATGACAGGTGCCGTAAGCCAACGACTAGCATGCGTTCAAGGTCATTGGTCATGCGTTCGCACTCCCTGTGACGCTATTGTTGAACTTCGTCGAAATGCCTTTCGTGACACACCGATTCTCTGAAGCATGTAGAAGAACTGACTGGATATTAGTGTTGGAAATCCAAATATCATCCTTTATGCTGTGTGCATTAGATTTTCATACTCGTCTCGGAATAATTGAGGTATGTTTTACTTTTCTGATCTTATCTTTGATATCTTCATCCGTGCCGCTTGCAATTGAAACGATGCTGCACCCAGATAAGTGAAAGAAGTGACCTTGTCCAAATTCCTTCCGTTGATAGTGATTGGTGCTGGTTGTTGTTGTTGCTGTTGGTGGTCTTTGGGTATCTTCATTACTTCTGTCTTCTCTATGTTCACTTGAAGTCCCGTCTTCACTGCCAACCTCTTCTGCCAATTTGTTGATTTTCGCCTGTACATCTTCGAGTCTGTGTGACACTAGACATAAATCGTCCAGGAAGTTCAAATCTTGTAGAGTCTAATTGTCGGTCCAACGTATTCTCGTCTTGTCGCCGCTCGCAGTCTGCCACATGATGATCAGGAGTATCATCGGTGTTAGTAAGCAGGCCTGCTTTACCTCTGTCTTCACTTCAAAGGTTTCATCGATTTATCTCTTGTGGATCACTTGACATTTGACATTGTGCTATAGCTGTGTGAATGAAGTTGATAAGGTTTTGGGGCACTTTATAGTGCTGAAGCCGTTTTCATGCAGTTAACCAGGTCAGAGAAGGTAGATTGGGACTCGAACCCGAAACCTATTGCTTGTAAGTTGAGTACTTACGCGAATGAGCCATGTCTCTATGCACTAGGAGAGTAACCAGTGCAAACTTTATATAATCACTAACTCCAGTACTCTGCTGGCAGAATTATGAAGCTCTTCGAACAAGTCTTAATAGCAAAGTTAAAATTTAGGCACCACTAACTACCAATTAGCGAACGGTCTTCAACGGACCAATCACATGAAAGAGGGATTTTTGATTGAGGAAAACGTATATTCATGGAAAAAAGTACAAAAAACTGCATAAAACTGTTACACAGGGTATCTTTCTCTAACATGTGATAGAAACATCTCCCAGTTTAGCATAGGAATGTCAACAGGAAAGTCATAACACCACATTCTATACACATATTTCCCCAGAATCCTTCTATAAAATTTGTGTGTCCCTGTAATGGGATCCACAAAATCACTAGAATGGTCCACTTTGTGATGAATATATGCAAGAGATGACAGCGAGTTATAACCTTTCCATTCATCAGTATGTACTATGGATCCCTGTTTCACTAGTCTAATAATAATAGATATTAAAGTAGTTGACTTTCTGTCTGCTATTCTCTCCACGAATCCCTTCCGCAGGGAGGTGTCATATAAACCGATCACTTAAACATTGTTGGCTCGCTCACGACCACGGTTGTATTTTTTCTTCATTAGCACAGTTTCGTCCACGTGTACAACGATACCTTCTCCGCCTAACAACGAAGTAATTCTCTCTATTTTCCATGATGCGATGTCTGTGCAGTGCTGGTAACACTGAACACTGTTGACACGAGGCTATTTTCGGTTTCAGCAGTTGCACCTCTCACACAGGCTGTTTTTAAAACCCATTAGTTGCAAACATACAAAATCTGGGTTAGGAAGAGATGCGACCTGGGAAAAATCTTCCTACGAAATAATAAAATTATCAGCTTACCTTCCTCAATACTAACTCATCTCAAACAGATTGCTCAACGATGGACATATCCATCAAAATCGACCTGCTAAAGCTTTTTAAACTCATGACACCTCCACAAGAAAAAATCCTCTCCTTCCCTAAGAAACCCCAAATCTACGCAATACTGCAAAACCTTATCCTCCTTGGACTGCAAGCGTAAAAGTTCGTTAAAGCACGCATTTGATGATACGAATCATGCGCTATACAACCGTGAACTCACGTGCATGAACCTCATTGAACCATTCGAGGTCGTTTGCCTCCAAAGCCTCAGGATGGTCGGGAGTGGGTGCCTTGCGCTGCGGGTTGGCCACCCCTCCGCACACCTCTTGAAATGCTCCCATATGACCGGGCATCTTACATAGCCTCTCCTGAGGAAGTCCTACTCACTGCCTTCACGTGGCGGAGGTGTTTTTCACCAAAGTGAGAAGGCGAAAGCGGATGCCCGGCGCTCTCCACCGGGTTGACTGTCCATTGGATGACAGTCTAGGGGAAATGGCTAAACCCTGATTCCAAACCTCCAACTACTGGCGTATGAAGCTCACTGGAGCTCACCGGCAGACGTATGGACAAAGGGCTTGTTGGATGTCCTGGATGTCTGGCCCCATTCAAAAAGGCCTATGAACCGAACTCCGGTCACCGGCTGCCAATGGATAGTGGACTCCCTATTCCACTCCTACTGCCTTGTAGGTCACACTTGGTTGTGTAAAGGCTAGAGCTGCACTCTCAAACAAAAGGCCGAGCGATTCTGGGGACATCACTCGTACCAAATTCCCATGAAACTTCATGAACTCTCTTGCATCAGATCGCCGCGCCTAGGCAACGATGATTCGAGATGTTCATGAAGCCGGCTCATCCTCCCGTAGGAGATAGCCGAAGTAAAGTAAGTAAGTAAGTAAGTTTGCTGATTGGTAGTTAGTGGTGCTTAAAGTTTAACTTGACCGTTTTATTAATTTTACTTCAAAATCATTGAAGGCTTCGTTTACCTTGTTTCATTACACTGATAAATTAGTTTCAGTACCATTCAGATATATTTTGTATGGTGTATATTTTTTAAAATATTCACTTAGTTTTATCGTCATGGGATTAGTCATCCGTGGAAAATTCTCTGCTCAAAATATATGCTTGATCATGCAGTTCTACTTGTTGGTTATGGAGTTTCTGAAGAGAATGTACCCTATTGGATTGTTAAAAATAGTTGGGGCGTTGAATGGGGTGAAAAGGTAAGTCACAGTCGACTGTGTTGGATTGTTTTTCCAACTGTTAATTTATATGCAGATTTTCGAGTTCTGTAAGGATTTCGATTAATCTCAGTGTGGATTTCGTCATGAACCGAGATCATTTAGGAAATCGCCACCGGATAGCTATTCATTCCAAGTTTGGGATTGTTCACCAGTGTGTGCTCATGAACTCACCAGAATACCTAACTTAGAATATACAGGTTACGAAGCCAGCCCCATTTCTATTCAACTTCATCGTAGATGTACTAATGGAGTTAATCCTAACTCACTTCAGAGACTCAGGGATTGACTTGTTGCCACCAGGGAATAATCTCGTTGACTTAGAATATGCAGACTATATAGTCCTTCTAGGCGAGGACGCTGACAAAATGCAGAGTCTACCGAACACCCTGAGCAACAATCTTCGTATGTTTGGCATGCGATTCGCCCCTGTAAAATGTAAGATAATGTTGCAGGACTGGACTACACTGACTTCCAGTTTAGAAATAGAGAGTGAAGTGGTAGAGCACGTTGACTGCTTCACTTATTTGGGAAGTACGATCAGCTCCGATGGGTTGATCTCTGACGAGATCTCAGTACGGATACAGAGGGCTAGTTTCGCATATGGCAGTTTACGCCGTCTGTGGCGTAGACGTGATATCCGACTATCGACCAAAGGGTGTGTGTACTGCCCAACAGTCCGCTCCGTCCTCCTTTATGGCTGTGAGACCTGGCCATTGAGAGCAGAAGACATGAAAAGCCTAACTAGCCAGCTGTCTGTGATCATAGGTGCCTGCATTCTCTTCCCCGTGTGAAGTGGTACAATAAGGTGAGCAATACTGAGGTTAGGCGTCGAGTGCTAGGTAAAAAGGGGGTATCAATAGACGAGGCTGTGAAGTTACATCAACAGAAATGGTTAGAACATGTGTTACGTACGCCTAGTCATCGCCTTCCTTGGCCATCGCTGTTAGCTGATATAGGGTCAGGCTGGAAAAGAGCTAGGGGCGGTCAAACGAAAACATGGCTTCACCAGTCAATGAAATCTACAACAGTTAGTCTAAGCCACATAGGAAGATGTAGACTTCCTGACTGGTTAGGGTCCTGGGGACGCTAAAACGAATGGTTGGAAACAATTGGTGACATGGCTCAAAATCGTTGTCAATGACAGTGCAGATGCATCCACTCCTTGTGACTTATGATTTCCAATGGAACTGTTTTGTTCTTCGTTATTACTATTCCTTTGTCTCACACCTCTATTTACTGTCTATATTATGCATTTCTTCTACTTTCTTCTCTTGCTTTGTGTGCTACAAGGAGGGAGTGTGGCGAATTGAACTGCCGCACATATGTGCAAAGTTCTATGTCGAAAACAGACAGACAGACAGACGTAGCCAGCCCATTGACCTCTGTTCACTAAGTAGGAGTCTAATGATCATTAGATTGAAGATAATAATATGGCGAAGTTTAGAGATTTTGTATGTCAGACTGATTGCAGAAATCTGTGAATAGTGACGATGTAGACTTTGACCCCTTTATCTAGAATACCCCAAGATATTAAGATAACCAAAACGGTAGAATAACTGGCATAGATAGCTGGGTCACTGTTGCATGCGATGTAACAGAATGTACAAGAAGAACCTCCAGTTGTTATTAGATGGTTGGAGGCAGTCGGAAGGAAGCTTTCGCCTTAGGTTTCGTGCTTGTTGGCACTTACTACTCAGCAAGGTGCATATGCAGTCTTGAAGGAAATGAGATTCGAACCCGTGTCACTCAGTGTCACAGTCAGAGACGTTACCAGTGAGTTGTTTGGGCTCGTGATTGACCTCTTGTAGAACTGTAATGAACACTTCGATTGGGAAATGGTTAGTGAGTAGTATAATGTGTCTAGAGTCCTTTGTTTTGTGTAGACTGAATTCTCTCTTGGTGGTCATATTGCAAATTTGACTGATAGATTTCAGTCCATACCAAACAAAGGACTCTAGACACATGGTACTAGTTACTAATTGGTGGTGTGTCCAATCAAAGAATCTCTAATCATCTAGAAAATGCATCAATATGTACTAAGAAGTACATCCCACTGGAAGAGTTCAGCAGAATCAACGTGAACATGGGACGATTGTATGTCTGGCAGACGTCAGGAACATAGTTGTTTTTAGATAGTTGGAGGCAATCGGCTACAGGAAACCTTGCTTGACCTAGGTTTCGTGCTAGTTGGCAGTCACCAGTTAGTCAGCAAGGCGTATCTGCAACCTTGAAGGAACTCATGTATGTCCCTTCTGAGATTCGAACCCGCGTCACCCAGTGCCTCCTGCAGTCAGAGATATTACAACTCAGCCATTCGAGCTGGCGATTGACCTCCTGTAAGACAGCATTGGATATTTTAGATTCTAGTGTCCAATCAAAAATATCCAATGCTGTCTTACAGGAAGTCAATCGCGAACTCGAATGGCTGAGTTGTAATATCTCTGACTGCAGGAGGCACTGGGTGACGCGGGTTCGAATCTCAGAAGGGACATACATGAGTTCCTTCAAGGTTGCAGATACGCCTTGCTGACTAACTGGTGACTGCCAACTAGCACGAAACCTAGGTCCTGGCAAGGGTTCCTGTGGCCGATTGCCTCCAACTATCTAATATCATCAAATCAATGTGCACTGTGATGGCGAGCTACCTAGTGGCATGGTGGCCATATTGCAAACCTGACTGACAATAGAATTCAGTCTGCACCAAAGGAAAGAAAGGACTAGACACATTACACTAGTTACTAGTATCCAATCAAAATACATGGTTGCTTATTCTATGGGCAGTTTTGCAATTTGGATCAACTTGTTGCACTAGAAGAATGATTTATCTGTGAGCATTGCATTGTAGGTGCACGGGATACATGAACAGAATCAATATCCTTTAATGATTACAAAACACGAGAACATGCTGAATATAATGGAACATTTAGGATATTGAGTTTATCGATCCAGTGGAGGTCAGGTAAATTCAAATTACGATGATTGGTTCAAGTAACATGCCTCATGGAATTGATACTCACAGAGATGCACTCGGTATACTATCACCCAATGTATTAGTTACTCTTCATCTTACATACCTCTTACCTTTATTACGTAACTCCTTTACCATTCCATGCATGTATTTACTTTGTTTAAACTTGAACTCCTTGTGTGAATACTATACAAGAGTAATTTTCTGAGCACTGTGTTCACTTAGTCCGGAACCTGCTGTCAACTGACATCGTGTAAAATATGCTTGTATGCTAAAACTTTTAGGTACATGAACTTAATAATAATAATAATATATTAAAGCTGTAAGCAGCTGATGAGAAGCCAATGAAGTAAAAGTTGGTACCATGTTGTTCTGTGAAATTTTCTTGCGTGCTGCCCCCTCCCCCCGCCCCTAGGTCAGGGAAGTGAGAAAGACACATTTCTTGTCGAAGTTAAAAGGATCGAGGCAAGAAATATTTACTTTCCAATTAGATCCTCATCAATGGCTCTACACTAGTGTATATATCCATAGCATTTTTAATATACGATACCAAAAGGTTTTACCAATCTAGTGGCGATATGTTTGTTGAAAAATAATTAGTTAATATCAGCATGTTAGAAGAGGGAGGGGGGTTATAATTAAAGGGTAGAAGGCCTTACAACATGTGGATTGCATAGTACATAAATTGGGGGATTTATTAAGGAATAAGTGAGTGCTCAAGTTGATTTCGCAGTGAGCAATTAAAGGTGAGACAATAATAACTTGCAAAAGACTTGGGGGAGGGGTGGGACGGCCGAAATTGTCAGTTTTTGTTTTCTTTCTCTAACATTCATGTGACAATGGCCAAGGCAAGGGAAGTGAATGCATGAATTTCTTCTAAATGCACAGTGCGTTGGTGGCACAGCGGGTTAGGACGCTCGCCGACCAAGCACATGGTCCGGGGTTCGATCCCCGGCCAACGCACACCTGATATCAATGGTCGACCTGCTAAATTTGGGCTATCGATATTACATGCTGAAAATTCCATACTTGTATCAAAAATACTGTATGGTGTCAAGCTATAAAAAAAAGTAAATCAATGCACAGGTTTGGTATCTTCAGGTAGATTCCGATGGCTTCAGGTGTATTGTAGAAGACGAACTCGTATAGCGAAAATTGATATTGCTCGGAATGCGATAAATAACTTTGAATGCTTTATTCAAACATTAGGTTCTTGCCCGCTGTCTACAATGTGTGTTAAAACACAGCAACGCATTGATATTATTTATCCTTTGCTCTTAACCATGTAGACAGGAAGATTTCTTGAAATACAATGATGTACCTGTCTAATGTAACTAGCGCGCGTTCTATACGAGCAGTCAAACTGGTAGATACGTGTAAAATGAAGCAAAATTTGGTGGTCTGTCCGTATTCCTTAGACATGAGACCTGGCCATTGAGTGTGGGAGACATGAAAAGCCTGGCTAGCTAGCTGTCTTCGATCATAGGTACCTGCGTTCTATTTCCCGTGTGAAGTCGTATAATAGGTTGAGCAGTATAGGAGGTTAGGCATCGACCGGGTGCTAGGAAAAGAGGGGGTATCAATAGACGAGGCTGTGAAGTTACAGTGACTGAGATGGTTAGGACATGTGTTACGCATGCCTAGCCATCGCCTACCTTGACCGACGGGCAATGTTAGCGGAAAAGAGTTAACCAGTGGTAGTCAAACGAAAGCATGACTTCATCAGTCAATGTAGTCCACATCAGTTAGTTTAAGCCAGTCATGTAGGAAGGTATAGACTTCTTGGTTGGGGTACTTCGGACGCTAAACACCAATGGAGGCTGCAGACAATCGGTGATATGACTCAAAATCGTTCTCAATGGCTGGCGCGCAAATGCATCCACTCTTTGTGACTTATATCCAATGAAACTATATTGTTCTTCGTTATTATTATTCCTTTTGTCTCATATCCCTGTGTACTATCTCTGTTTTGCATTTCTTTTTACTTTCTTCTCTTGCCTTGTGTGCTGCAAGGAAGGAGTCTGGTGACTTGGACTTCTGCACATCGGTGCAAAGTCCTATGTTGAAACCAGTCAGTCAGTCCTCAAACGTAAACTTGGAGTGGTTGCTGCACTCACTGATTAACGCTATTTTTATCGCATTCTTCAAGCACCGTGGTACCCTTTTTAGATATTTCCCCAATTAGTAGTGAGATGTAGAATCACCAGAAAATATTCTCTCTCTCTCTCTCCCGTTTATCTTTGTGCGTGTTTAATTTTTATTTTAATTTTTATTATTTTTTTCAGGGTTATTTCCGTATGTATCGTGGTGATGGTACCTGTGGTATTAATACAGTAGCTACATCAGCTGTGATTTATTGATTCTGTGACATCTTGTTGCCTGTGATTCCAACAATTCAGAAGAAGAATGGAAGGATAATTCCTATGAGTTTGTGTTCATCATCGCCATCCCTCCATCATCATCATCAGTATAACCGGGTTACTTTTATTTTCATGCTCTGATATTTTGACGATTATTGGGCTATAATAAAGATCTGACAAGTTCATTATTATTATTATTATTATTATTATTATTATTATTATTATTATTATGTCACCCGCTTTCTTTCATCTCTGCTCAAAGATCTTGGAAATACAACAAAGAGAGAGAGAGAGAGTACTCTTGCCTGTTTTTTGAAAAAACATATTTTTTAATTTTTTAAAAATTTCGTTTCCTTTTTCATCTCATCTCATCTCTCATGCACTTTTGTTTAGATCATTAATTTATTATTATTATTATTACTCCTATGTTTTTGTATGGTACTCATGGAATCTCAAATTATTATTTTAGTTTTCGAATTTTATATGGACACAGACAGATACTTTCCGGTATATTGCTATTATTATTATTATTTTGCACAAGCTAATATATAGCTCAAAATGTATGATGTTCTTTACTGACTGGTCTAAGATCGAAGAAGCTGTAGTGTTGTTGCACGAGTGCACGGCCTGTTTGATTTTTTTTGAGTTGTGCTTGTATATTTATAGATCTTACTGCCCGCGGGGATGGCGAGGGTTGGCTATGGACCGGCGAAGGATTAGTCGGGATGTATCATTATCTGGGTTTCAACATCGAATTTTATAGAGAAATTCAGCAGTTCGAATTGTCACACTCCATGTAGCACACAGAGTTGGAGAGAAAAGGGATTTGAAAGAATTAAGATGACCTTGGCGGCCTGTTCGAATTTTTGGACCTGCTATCATAATATCTACATATTGTATCCATATACTGTTTACTCCTATTTATTTATCACCTAAATATGAATTCTAACAGGATCATTTACTCTCGCAACTTTATTAATCATTTACGACCCAATGACTTTCATACTCCCAAGAAATCAAGAAGGAAGCATCGTAACGGTTGGCAGAGAGATCTTAAACGTACACCAATACACCTAACTATGGTCCCTGTCATAATGAACACTAACTGCCGCTCTCTTCCTAACAAGATAATGTACCTACAATCTTTGATGTCCACTGACACTTATCATAATACTGCGATAATCACATTACAAGAAACATGGTTATATTAACTGTATGATGACAATCTCATCTCACTAAAGGGCTTTATCCTATTTAGACAAGACCGACAATGTCGTAATAAGAAAAATGGGGACGGCGTGGCAACTTTTATTCACTCCAAATGGTCCATTTCTAATAATGTCTGCTTCTCATTCTCAAATGACTTCATAGACTGTATTACCGTCAAATGTCGTCCCAAACATCGCCCCATATATAAACATATCTTTGTTACTAACATGTACATTTCTCCAAGTTGCTCACTACCTAATCTTTCAAATTTTGCTGACGAATTCACCATGTTTGCCGCTGCCAACTTCGACAACTCTCTATCTGTTATTACTGGGGACTTCAACTCGTCAGACTGCTCTTTCCTTGAAGCACTTGGTCACACAAACATAGTCAAATTTCCCACTCGACTTGACAAAACACTCGATTTAGTTTTCACAAATGACGAAGGAATATACGAAACACGTAAACGTGCACCGATCCTTAACTCTGGTCACTGTATTGTTCGTGTTTTACCAAAAATATACAGCAAAACACATATTAATGTAGAAATGTGAGGGGGAATGAATGTCAACATTGAGGACCAGTTCGAGTCATCTCACTAATTGTCTCCAGTCATTGACTCTTAGAATCCCGAGGACCCCAACATCTCTCGATGACAACTAGGCAATACGTAACACGTGAGCTAGTCGTCTCAATCGATTAAGCTTCACAAGTTCATTGATTGACTTCTCCTTCTTACCTAACACTCGACTTCTAACGTCATTATTACTCACCCTATTATGCCGCCTAACACGGGATGTAGACAGAAGACAGCTAGCTGGCCTTTTCACGTCTTCCACTTTCAATGGGCATGTCTCATAGCTATAAAGAGGAAGACAGAATGAACTGTTGTGCAGTACACACGTCCTTTGATCTAAATCACGCCTACACTAGAGATGGCGTTAGTTGGCAAATGTCACGCGAGCCTTTTGTCCCAGTTCTGAGATTTCGGCAGCAATCAGCTCACTGAGGACGGGGGGGGGAATGCAACTTCCTAAATGAGCTCTACTATTGCACTCTTTATCTTTAAGTTAGTAGTCAATTTAGTCCAGTCCTGTAGCATCATCTTATATTCGACAAGAACAAACCCCATGCCAAATATTTGAATATTTTCTGCTCAAGGTGTTCAGAAGACCCTGCATTTTATCAATGAGTCTGCAACACAGTTGGTTATCGCATCCCTGTTCCCTAGCACTACGATTTCGCCCACAGACCCCTCCCCACCCCAACAAAGTGTAGAAAACTTACACTGTGGTGGTAATTGCTTTTATTCTAATAGCTATTCAAACATTTTCTGACATGGGAGGACCTTCAGGAACATGAGTTCCATCCATCATAGCCCGACTAGCACGTCAAGCGAGGAGATATTGGTGGGAGATTTTCTTTACAGGTTGTGTGTGTTTAGTTTCGTTCTTGTGTGTGTGTGTGTGTCAGTGAATGCATGTATAGTTGGGTGAAAAAACCCACAACAAAACAAGTAGTTCAGCGAAGAGGTTGGTTGCGGCAAAGTTCTACAATAGCGTCCCAAGGGATGCGAACACACGAGTGACCTTGAGTCGACCAATCAGAAAAACGAGGGATTTTTGCACAAAAAATTACGTATATTTACATAAAAAAGCATGGAAAAAACATTAAATAGGGTATTTTTCTCTGATATGAGATAAAAGTGTGTCCCAGTTATATTGGGGAGTGTCAGTTTTTAAATTAAACCAATTTCTATACATGTATTCATCCAGGTGACTAAAAATAACTTGGTTTTGAGAGCCACTTATTGCTCTGTGTTTGAATTAGTATTAGAGCCGGTTCTGGTATTGACGAAATCATCGGAATGGTTATGTCGGTGGTGCATATATCCTAAATCCAATAATCGGTTATACCCTGCCCATTCATCCGTGTGCACAGTAGTGCCAGGCAAAATGAGCCTCTGAATAATAGGCAGAAGAGTGTTGGCACTCCTGTCTGGAATAAGTTCAATGAATCCTTTACGAATTTGGGTGTCATAAATTCCTAATACCCAAACGTTATTAGCTCTAGCAAGTCCTCGATTGTATTTCTTCTTTATAAGCACTGTTTCATCGATGTGAACGACACTTGTGTAATGTTCATTTTCCATGAGGCTAAATCTCGACAAAACTGAAACCACTGCACAGTAGACGTCAACTTATTTTCTGTCTGAGCCGCAGTTGGCCTCACTCCGGACTTTAAATGGCAAAGAAACAGTGTATTCGTCAAAGAAAGTTCCTAGAAGACAATTAACTGAGAGTGTCACTTACCAGTGCGAACGCTTGTCCATTTCCTACACTCCATACATCTAAATATATATCCATCAATGACCTGTGAATACGGTTGCAGGCTCATTGAAGCACCACAACTACATATACGAGAACATCCTATCAATCCATTATCCAGACAGTATTGAAATACGTGATCTGGGTGAAATTTGCACCTGAGCAGATGAACAGCATTCATTTTCGCTCTAGAAGAATCATAAGTTTCTTCAACCAACGATTAGCATGCGTTCAAGGTCATTTCTGAGCGTTCACACTCCTGGGACGCTATTCTTGAACTTCGCCCGCGTTACTTTAACTGTACAATTGCATTTGTATACAGATATTTCCTCCCAGAGAGGATAGTAGCAAAAGTGATGAGTGTTATGCCAGCAACGAGAAGAGCGCTGTTCTCCAGTCGCCCACCAGTTTGCAGAAGCCTGAAAGATAAGATTTCGCATATATCTGACCACTACGATGCGCATACATTTGTTCTTATGGTGCCAGGTATACTGATCGTTCGATGCCATATCCTGTCTACAAATCTATTCAAGAACACATCATTTTATGCATGAAAGTCGAATAGGAAACGATTAGTTGGGCGTCCAAGTGTGACATGAAGGAGATGTGCGTTATGTTCCGGTAGACACCTAAGGGAATAATAATAATCATCCTACACAGTAACAGGAATGGTACCAGTGGCTTTATAAGTACGATAGTTGAACACCTTGTCGATATTGGTCATTCTGTCTCAGGAAATGCCTCCTTCAAAGTAATCTACAAGTACTATTTAATATTGTTGTTTCCTGTAATTCCTAGAGGAATATAGGGCTTCAGACGTGCGTCTCCATTGCGTGGGTTTTCTGCTACAGTCTTCACCTGGCTCCAAGTCTGCCCATATGCTTTCATCTCCTCTTCACATGACCTCCTCCAAGTCACCCTTGCACTGATGACCAACTCGCCGCTTCCCTTTCGGGTTCCACTCGGGGGCTTGCCTATTGATGTCACTTGATGGTTTGCTTTCTCGGAGTATGGCCAATCCAATCCACCTCCATTTCTCCCTGCCTATTTGTTTCACAATCGGTTCCTGGTTGGTTCGCTCATTGCCAGAGATCTCTGTTGCTGATCTTTTCTAGCCGGCCATCTGATCTTGAGTATTGATCGAAGACAACTGTTAATGAAGGTGTGTAGTTTGTTTGAGATGCTCTTTATGACGCGCCAAGTCTCTCATCCGTATAGCGAGTAGCACTGACTTCACATTGGTGTTGAAAATCCGGATGTTATTTCTGATGCTGAGTGTTGTTGACCTCCACACAGACTTGAGAGTAGTGAAAGTTTGTCTTGCTTTTCCGATTCTTGCTTCAATATCCTCGTCAGTTCCGTTTGGCTGTAGTTGAAACGATGCTTCCCAGGTAGGTTAAAGAGGTTGTTTCTTTCAGGTTCCTTCCATTTATGTTGATCGTTGTCTGTTGTTGTTGCTGTTGGTGGTGTTGCCCAGGAATTTTCATCACCTCTGTTTTCTCTATGTTCACCTGAAGCCCTATCTTCCCTGGACGCTTCTTCTGCCAACTTGTTGCTTTTCACTTGCATATCTTCCAGTTTGTGGGAAATCAGACATATATCACATCGGCGAAGTCCAGATCCTCCAAGTTTTTTGTGTGAGTCCATTTTATGCCTGTTTCCTCATTGGCCGCTGTTTGTCACATTATCCAATCT